CCCCCAGCGGTAACCCTGCACGAGCCCCCAGCCTACGGACTATTGATCCAGGGCTCGCTCTCCATCGGTACCATAAACACCGCTCTCTCTCTCCATCTCTGCCTCTGCCCCTCACGTATCGCTTACTTTCTCTTTTCCTGTTTTTCCGTCTCCTCCACTTCCCTTTTGTTTGCCTCCATAGATCTGCACATCATAAATCTCTGTCAGCTTCTCCAGAGTGTCTGACATATCCGTTAATAAAGAGGCCCCTCCCCTCCCTTCAGGTCCTCCCCCTGCGCTCCATCCTTCTCCCTGCCAGTGCAGGACTAATGAATGAGAAACTCCAAAATTAGGGGCCTCTCCCTCGTAGATTAGAATGTGTCCCTGTGGAGTGTCGGGCTAGCCTCCAACCAAACCACAGCAGTCCACCTCCCCCACTCCCTATTTTTCATATTCTGTCTGCAACAGAAACACACTCAGACCTATGAGCACATGGGCCCATGCAACGGTGGTACCGACACCCCTAGAGTCTTTTGGCCCCTTACTCCCCTGATGGTCCTTAACCTGGAACCAGACAGGGAGGCATCCTCAATATTTCAACTAAGTGTGTTTTGGAATCTCCATTCCCTTCCTTTCTCCCAAAGGGCCGCCCTAACCCGTCCCTAGGCCCTTTTTTCTATTTCTATTTTTGCCCGGCGAGAACACACACCGAGCAAACTTGGTGGCATTCACACCTCTCCGCACATTTCTGTGACTTTAGTCAGGCTGTGCAGAATTTCAGCGTGGTGTCCGCTCTCTCAGAAATGAATCCCTGGCTGTGTGTTAGAGCGGTAAAAGGTGGCAGTGGCCCCTGGAGGAGAGGTCAGCGTGGCAGCTGCCAGTGGGTTCTGGCGGTGGCGGGAGGCTGAGCCGGGCTGAGAGGGGGTCTGTCAGGAGCTAATTGAGTTCGTCCTACCAGCGCCGACTCTGGGGCCAGTGGCTTATCAGGCCACATCGCCTGGGGCCCTCCAGACAGATCTGCCCCTACCAGGGCATCTGATATCACCATCACCCGGCCTGCACATGTCAACCCCCGCCTCCTCTACCACACACACCCCTTCCCCTCCACTTACCCAGTCTGATCAGGTAGCAAGGATGTGACACTTTGGGATGAGGTTAGCAAATGTTATGGAATGGTGTTTTTGGCATCTGGTGGCCTTGGGAGTGAAAAAGGATATCAGGAATATATTCAATGTTTGAGTAGAGCCTCTAGGTTCGTACTGTGTGCTTGTGATTTACACATGAAATGGGGACAGAGCTTAAATCGCCCCGAGAACAGTGGAGGATGTCAGTGTCTTCCACATGTGAGCAGGAAGCTCTCAGCAGGAATACTTACAAATTGGCTCAATTAGATCCCGAATGTTCTGCGTTCTTACGACAGTGTCAGCCGACGTTCAGAGTGTCGCTTTCGGGCGAGGGAAGTGTCGAGACGTGAGAAAATGAGCGCTCTTCTGTTCTCCTCTCGGAAGACGGGGAACAGAGAGTGCGAGACGAGCCGCCAGATCATTAGGCCAGCTAATCCTGGTCACAGCAGCACCAGTGGAATGATATTAGGGATCTGAAATACTGTTAGGAGGGCCAGGTGGAATCAGATTAAAACCAAACTGCGCAGTGTGCGTTTGCGGGCCCATAACCCACTACTCAGCATGAATTTTGATCAGTACAAAGGGAACAAAAGGAGGAGGAATAGAGAGAGAAAAAGAGAGGGGGAGAGATACTGTATCTTAGCCGAGCGCTGCTCCTTTGGGCAGCCAGGCAGCAGAATTTGAAATGCTCTTACCTTGAGGAAGGAAGGAAGCCAGAACTATAGATTTTACAGCATCAAGTCTCAGTGAGTTCAGCAGACCCTTTCCTGACTGCCCCGTCTGTGTAGCACACAAGCTAATTAGCACCTGCCCCACATATTGAATTATTTATCACAACTATTGCTGCTGTCAAACTATTTAAAACTCATAATTCATTTTTCCATACAATGGTATTTATAGATTTAAATTGTTCCTGTCCCATTAGAGATTACGAATATTTATAGAAATATTTTAGACTATTTGATTAATACGCCAGGTTCAAGTGGTTAGTATTCCCTCAGTATCATTAATCAATATATGGCTTGTTAAAAACATAAGCATAGCAGTGGTATAATGTGTCATAGCAGAATGAGTTAAGGGGATTCTAGCCAGCACATTTATTATAAATGACCACATTGAGCTGGAGGGGAAACAGTTAAGACACTTATGCAATTATGCTAAGTGTCACCCTGAAGATGGCCTTTGAACCGGGGTTAAGCTTACTCTGAATTTGTGAAATAAAAGTTAAATGGAGCCATCTTGTGCTCCTGCGTTTTAATATATAGCCTTTAATAAGCCAAGTGCAGGTGCCCTATCGCGCAGGTGCACATATCCATCTGAAACCGAGAACATAAAGCAGATGAACACAGAGCCGTGCATTAATTTATGGGGATGCAATCTGCATTTATTATCAAGAGCGGCAAGTTCTATTTTAGAAAGGCATGAAATGGATTCACTTTTTCAATTTCTTCCTGCAAGGATATTAAAGAGTACAAGTGGGTAATTTTTTAAACGGCAAATCTGAATAACTGCCCCGCATGCCATCAGCAGTATTAAATGTATTTTTTCTATTCTAAGAGTAGTTAAAGGAAAAAAGGTGCATTGGGCACGTGCTCTTCAGCAGAATGGTAGTTGTGTATCAGTTTTAGATAGCTAAGGCTTTATATTGCAAGAAGAATTCCAGGAGTACTCAAGCAAAGGGCTTATTCCACAAGGTCAACGGTTTTAACAGGGGGCATTTTTTATTATTTATTTTAGCAGTTAACCTTTTTGTGAATTTCCAGAAGTGGTAGGCACCTGGAGCTCCGATGAATATACATGACAGCAGGGAGTAAAACCTGGGAATGAGATTTAATTTGACACGCTGACCCCCATCTCCACGGGCCCAGGAAACCAGGGTGAGAAAATAAGGTTGACCCACTGACCCCCGGGCCTGAACCCCTCCGTCACCCACCCTCACAATTAAATCAGCCTCAGAGAGCAAGAGGCAGTCCGGCGGACCGATAGGGGACACCGCAGAGGCCTTCTCGTTTCCTGTTTCCTCTGAAGCACTCTGAGACAGACAGCTATCGTCCAATCAGGCTGATAGAGCCCCCCCCCCCCCC